GATTGGCGGATGGCTTTTCCTGGCTAATCATTCCTTCAAAAAAAAATGCTAATAATTTGGTCGCTCAATCCGCGACTGTTTGTGGGACGCTACTGTAACGCAATTGGCTGCCGCGTTTCGCCCACAAATATACAGTCAGTTCACTTTACAGTATATTCTGTGAAGCGCTTTGAGACGCCTCGAAGACGTGGAAAGGCGCTGTATCAAATGCAAGGATTATTATTATTATTATTATTACTATCGAATCTGCTTCCACCACCCTTTCAGGCAGTGCAGTCCAGACCGTAACAACACTCTGGGTTAAAAAAAAAAAAATTCTCCTCGTCTCACCTCTGGTTCTTTTGCCAATTATCTTGAAACTGTGTCCTCTGGTTACCGACCCACCTGCCAGAGGAAACAGTTTCTCCCTATCCACTCAATCAAAACCCCTTATGATTGTGAAGACCTCTGTTAAATCTCCCCTCAACCTTTATAGGGGAAGGTTGAGGGGAGATTCAGATGGTGATCTGTTGTCAGGTTGTATTGACCCTGGTAGCCTCTGCCCCTCCAACCCCTCCTTCTCCCCCTTTCCCCTGCACCGCCATCGCTCTCCCACACCTCCCCAATCCTCATCTCCTCCTCCACCTCTCTCCTCTTTTCCTCCCCCTTTCCTCCTCCACCAGCACCCTCCTACCTTCTCATCTGCACTCTCCTTCTTCCCCACACCCGGCCCCTACCAGAGATTTGTTCTCGTTTATCCCAGAACATTAAGATTAACTGAGTTCTCTTGCAGTTCGGCGGGGGGGGAGAGGGGGGGGGGTCAGAGTGTTGGCATATTTCAGGCCTGATCTGTCCTCCCAGGAGCTGGGACAGTGCGGACATTAAATATGCAGAAACTGAGATGTCATTGCGTCAGCAGATCGATGATCGGGAGCTATTAGCAATTTTATTTAAGTGGCAGGAAACGTCCACAGTGCAAAACAATGCAATAAAACCCAGGCTGATAGATGGGCGCTTTATTCAGCCACTCACATATGTCTTACACAAAGCAATTTGGGTTTTGTACAGTTTACTGGAGTTTCAGACACACCTTTCGCCCCCTTCCCCCACCCCCACCTCCCCAAAAAGGAGGCGGTGCCTGACTTCAAGAAGTATTTGAGAGGGTATTAAAACAGACGTAAAACATTGGGATCTCCTCCATCCCTGGCAAGATCAAAAAATATTTTGATAATGATCTTTGCATTTGATACAGCGCCTCATCAGGTGTTTGAGACGTCTCAAAAGCGCTTCACAGACTATACTGTAAAGTGTAGTGACTGTATGTTTTGTGGGCGAAACGTTTATGTCTGAAACCGAGTGCTCCTGTGTGTGGTGAAGCACCTTCCATGTTATCTCGCCTCTTGAGTCAGAAGATTGTGGGTGCAAGCCCCGAGCCTGGGACTGAAACGCGTAGTTCTAAGCTGATGCTGCAGTGCAGTACCGGTGGTGGCGCGAGCACTGCATGTTCGGAGGTGCCATCCATCAGATAAGATGTCAAACCAAGGTCCTGTCTGCTTACGGTTTGGGTGGATGTTAAAGATCCCATTGTATTATTCATAAAACAAAAAGCTGTTTATTTTCCCAGTGTCCAGATGACAGTCCTCCAGATTAATTTGTCGTTCACCTCATTGCTGTCTGTGGTACTCTATTGTGCACAAATTGCCTACAAAAACGGTCACTGCACGTGACAATAATTATTGCGGTGCACTTTGAGACATGCCGTGAGCGCTGCAAAAATGTACCTATCGTCCCCTGTATCTGCAGTCGCATCTTCTAAGACAGTTTTTTTTCACAGTCTTTTTGTTGCCATTCGATGGTGACCAAAATCCCGAGCTCCTTAATGAGGGCAAAAATAGGCCAGTTTGCCCGTTAACAGTGAGTTTCCACTGAGCTGTGGATTTCTGTGGTCATTACTGCACTGAACCAGTTGTCTGCGGCTGGTAACTTAATTTAGTTGGCTGCTTGTAAGGAAACAAAAGACAGTGGAGGCCAATTCACGTGACCTACCAGGGAATCACTGAAGCACTCAGTGTTTCTAATCATTTACATTCATGTCACTTCAACGGATCACACAGTGGGTATCAGTGAAGTACGGAAGCGAAGCCCCCCCTATTCCAATGCAGTAACGTGTGTGTGTGTGTGTGTGTGTTAAGAGTGATAACACTGCATTGTCGGAGGTGTCATCCTTCGGGCTTAACAAACCCCAGGTCTTATAGGTCAATTCAAGTAAACGTTAAAACAAGACCCCACAGCACTGTTCCGAAGAGAAGGGAGTTTCTCCAGGGTGGCAGTGGGGGGGGCAGAACAGGAGCAAGAGAGTTCAAATGATTAAGTACCTACACACAGTATTTACATTACTTTTCTCCACAGTAATCCAAAACGTACACATACTTGGTACGACCTTGGGTCTTCCCATAGAAATTTCTGCTGCGTATCGAACCCTTTCACTTGGTTGAACTGGTTCGGTCCCAGGAAAAGGGAAGGCTGGAAATGCTCAGCGGGTTCCTACTTACCCTTAGGTAAACAGAGGCGTGTGGAGTACGGAAACTTGCCCAACGTTTCACCCTGCCCGGGAATCAAACCCAGGTCCTCTCGCTTGCGAGGCGAGGGCTCTAGTCACTAAGCTTGCAGGGCTCTACAGGATCATCATAGAATATCGGAAGAGTTACCCAATCAGTCCCACTCCGCTGCTCGTTCCCCAAGTCCTTGCAAGTTTTTTTCCTTTTCAGGAACCTATCCAATTCCCTTTTGAAAGTCGTTATTGAATCTGTTTCCACCACCCTTTCAGGCTGTGCATTCCAGTCCGTAACAACTCTCTGTGTAAAAAAGAAATTGTCCTCATCTCCCCACGGGTTCTTTTGCCAATTATCTTGAATCTATGTCCCCTGGTTACCAACCCACCTGATTAGAATTTGTGAGTCTCTTTACTCTCTCTCTCTCTCTCTCTCTCTTGTCAGGAGAATGGATGAAGGAGGTGGGGTGATCCTCCACATCCACCTGAATTACAAATGAGTTATAAGTCAGGTCTAACTTAATTATAATAATCCTCACATTTGATATCGGGCCTTATCATGTCGTTGAGATGTCTCAAAGCGTATTTCGCAGGATTTCACTGTGAAGTTTGTGACTGTGTACTCCGGGGCTCGCGTTGCTTCTGAACGTTCGGGTCTTGGGAGAGAGAGCAAAATACTGGGCAATAATACAGCACAGTCAAATGATTCATTTCACTGCAGTTAATTAGCCCGTCACTGCAAGTTATCAGTCATCCCCGTGGAATGAACAACAGTGCAAATTAAACCTCTGTTACATGACGACGACGCTCTGTGCCGGTTACAGTCATTGAGAGATGATTCATTCGAATGTTACCTGACTTGTGTGTCTTTAAATCCGGGAGGGGATTGTGTGTGTGTGTGTGTGTGTGTGGGGGTGGGTGGGTGGGGGGCAGGTTGTGTGGGTCTATGTATGTGAAGGGGTTGTGCAGGTGGGGATGTGGATTTGGAGGGGGTGAGTGTACCTGTGGGGTGGATTTTGTTTGAGTGGAGGAGCTATTTGTGTGTGTGTGTGTGTGCGTGTGTGTCTATGCGTCCACTCTGTATTCTCTCTGAATGTGAGGAGTGACGAATATTGGCTGAACGGAATGGGTTACGACAAGAGTTCTGGACGCGGAGGGAACTGTGACTAAGCCAGGCCAAGGGCTGGGAAACAACGGGTCTTTGAATTCCCAGATAGTGTGTGCGCGCGTGTGTGTGTGTGTGTGTGGATGGATGGTTGGGCGAGCGGGCGGTGGGAGGAATTTCACACGCCTGGCAGGTGGGAACGTGGGATAAATGGAGACGTGAAGAAAGGAAGCTCTTTGGCGTCTGAGTTCAGCTGGTGAAACGTCTGAACGTACGGGAAGAAGCCTGAGGGTGGGGAGTGAGGGGTGGGGGTGGGGGTGGGGGGAAACAACAAAACGGGGGGGGGGGGGGGGGCTTGTGAGTTGCTGTCAGCCAAGCTCATGTTCTGGAAGTGCAAACATATTGAGTCACCCCTGTGGTATTTTAAGAATGTGCGCATACTGTGCGTGGCAGCGCTGCTCGGTTGGGAAAGCAGGAAGAATGTTGGACAGAATCCATCCGCTGAGCTCGCTCGCAAGTGCTCGCTTGCTTGCGGCTTCCCTTTCAGTGAGGTCGCTCTGGCCAGCCTGGCGGGTTAAACCGAGCGGCTTCCTGGATCGCGGTGTCAGTTGAGAGGGAGCGGGGAGGAGAGGGGAGGGGGTGGTTGGGGGAGCGGTGGGGGTGGAAGGGGGGAAAAGGGTGAGCGGGAGCCTCGCTGTGTTTCTCTATAAATTGAAGAACGGCTGTTGGAGAGAAATGTCGTCCTGATTTCCATCTGTTAATTCTATTGGAGTCTGGCTGTTGTAACTGGGAGGGGACGGGGAGTGTGGAGGGGGGCGTGGGGGGGCGTCAGGGGGTTGAGAGAGAGGAACAATATTACACCAAAACGTTAATATTGACCTCTGCCTTCACAGAGTGACTCAAATGTCTCTCGAGCGCTGAGTAAGGTGGAGCTGCGAGCAATGTTGAGGGTACGTTGCGAGGCCAGCAACAGGGTCTCTCGCGCACACCGGCGTTCTGTCGCGATTCCCTGCGACTTTGTGTTTGAAATAGCACCTTAACTCGCGGCGGCGGGAACCGCGAGCGAGCGGAGTCCTGTAAGCGGCGTCAGCGGTTCGATTCCCTGGGCCGGTGCTGGAACTTAAGGCGAGTTGCCTTACTCCGCATTCGCTCACGCCCGCCTATGTTCACCTAAGCAGCGAGTAGGAACCCCGGTTGCTCTCCGGGAGGGGTAATAATCCCTTCACAAAAGAACGATGCGAGACCCTGCTGTGTTGTGCGCAATCGTCCGCCGCGTTTCGCGCCCCCCCCCCCCCCCCCACCCCGAAAAAATACACAACTCTGCGAAGCCCTCGCTGGTCTATCCCTCGCTTTGTTCTCTCGCAGGGGCTGGTGCTGTACACGGTCGGCCGGAGTGACTTGGCGGAGAAAGTGCTGAGAGACGCCGTGAACATTCAGCCCACGTCTCACCGGGCCTGGAACAGGCTGGGCCAGGTCCTGCAGGGCCAGGGGAAGAACGGGGAAGCCGTGGAGTGCTTCCTGACCGCCCTGGAGCTCGAAGCCACCAGTTCCGTCGTGCCGTTCACCGTCATACCAAGAGAGCTGTGAAACCTCTTCACGAGTCGTATTCGGCCGCAGAAGGGTTTACTGACTCAGGAGCAGTCGGGGAGTGGGGGGGGGTAGAAGGGACCAAACTGCAGGGTGTGGGTTGTGATACGATAATTGTCACCAATTACAGAATTTGCAGTTCTTTTCATATCCATTACTTAACGACAGGTTTCGGGCTGAATGCAACCCCTCCAAGGGCGTCGATCTCCGGTCGGCTCAGCAGAGCTAATTGCCGTTATTCTGTAAAGAGTGAGAGCGATTTTCTCTTTCCTCACCTCCCGCCCGAGCTCAGTTTTACGAGCTGTCGGATCCGAGACATGTGGCCCCCGTTAAGACTGAATTTCCAAGACGGCGTTGAAACTTTTCGCCGTTCTGCCC